AATGGGTAGGGAGTGATGCCAGGAGTGTCTGAACCTTGACCATGTGGAATAGAAACTTGGTTTTGTGGGGAAGAACAAAGAGTCACCCTAAGTCTTGTCAGCATCCTGTTCAGAAGGAAAAGTTCTTGCTGGACCACCCATCGAGTGTGAGTATGTTAAAATGCCTGTGCCCTGAACTGAATCAGGCAAAGTGGGGAAATGTGGTCAGTGCTTCCCTGAAGGGTAAGGCAGGGCCATAAATGGGAGAAAAATGAACCCTGAGCTCAGAGAAGGAAACCATATACAACCTGTCAGGAAGTGGAGTCCCCCGTAGGTCTCAAGTGGCTCTGAGAAGGGAGTGATGAATGAAGTGAGGGCCTAGCAGCTCTCAGCACAGCATGCTTGCTGCTCAGTGTAGCTCGACCTGGTCCCTACAAGGTTCCCTTCCCTGTCACAAACCTCACATCTTCTGAGCCTCTCCAGGTGCATCTTTCTTTGCACCCATGGAATGCTCCTGGTGTTTCTATCAGCAGGAGTAGGGGTTGTGTGGGTAGGGAAGGGAAGAGCCTCCCTTTGGAAGAGCAGCTCAGCCAGATCATTGGTGCCTTCACCATCGAGTTCTGTGAGCAATGCCTTTCTTTACATTTCCCACCTGTGTCTGATTGGGAAAATGAGGAAGGGAATGAAACTGTTCCCTATGTTTTATTCTGCCAAACTGGTACGCCCTTTCATTTTGTTAAGGTAGCAAAGGGGGCTCCTTCTCTGGTCTGCAACATTCTATTTGTTGGTTCAACACATTTCTGGGCACTCAAGTAGGCAAGTCTCTGTTTTAAAGAACTCTGATTTTAAGGCATCACTGACATATTTCAAACATTCCTTTTGGAAAAAATACACACACACACACATTTTTCATATGAGTTATTTATTTCTTTTGTGGAATTTTATTTTGAAGTGTGTTTAATTTTTTAGAAGAAATATAAGGCAAGGAGAAAAGTCACTTTTAAAAATCTGAACAGCCCCACCCATGGTTTTAGAATAGCAGGTTTGATTAACAATAGTTAATATAGTTCTATCTCAGAAGTAGCTAACTTTTTGTAAGATTCAGTTGTTTGCATAATCTCAGCTGGTCACTGAAAACCCTTTGTGCTCAGTGAGTAAAGCATGATAGCCTCAGTTTCATTCACAGGACATATGTGTAAAGAAGGTAGCAACAAGACTAGGCATGGTGGCGGGCACTCGAAAAGCTAGCCCTGGAGAAGCAGAGACAGGTAGGTCTTTGGGTCTTGCTGGCTAGTAAGCTTAGCCTACCAGGTAAGTTCCAGACTAAAGAGAGACCTAGATTCAAAAAAAAGAAAGAAGGGAAACCAAAGGAAGCAAAGGTCTGCTGGTACCAAAGGAATGATGATACTTAAGATTGTCCTTTACCTCCATGGGTGAATGCACACCTATGAACACATACCCACACCCATGAGTGCACACCACACACACACACACACACAATTTGTTAACTAGGCTTTGTCTTATTTTCTTATTTTAAATACATTTATTTGTATTTTCAACTGTAAAGTGAATGCACGTGTACAATTAAAAATAAATTACCTTTTTTCCTTCTGAGGATGAAAGAACCATAAGCTTTTCCGAACATTTTTTTAAAGAAATGTTTGGGGCAGAGGTTTTACTCCCTTTCAAAATATGGAAACCTATCACATCATTTAATGGGACTCATTGTTAGGGGAAAGGAGCCTCCTAAGTGTGTGCCTCTGTGGAAGTGGTCTGGATTCCCCACGGGTTGTGGGGAGTGCCCCAGGATGGGGAGGAAGGGTGTATATCATTTGCAGGCAGGAATGAATTCTAACAAGACACAGCTGGGTGGCTTGCCCTTGACTTTGGATGGAGCTGAGCAAATTGAACTTGTTGGTCTCTGGTCCTGGAAACTCAAGGGCATTGTGATCTCAAGCTCAGCACTGTGAGAAATAAGTAGACTGTGTTTGGACCCTGGATCAGTAGCAGCCTACATTAATTTCCCTCGCTCAGTGGCAATAATCAGTAAACATTCTGGGAAGGTCATGCTAGAAGAATTCTTTGGACATTGTGGGTCACATGGTCTCTGTCAAATGACTCAGCTCTGCTACTGTGGGTTGCTGATACAAAACAGAATGGATGTGACTGCTCGTAAATGCTGTTTAGAAATAGTTGACTCTTTGGATGGATGGCTGACAGGTGGCTTAAGACATTCACAGGAACAGGGTTACTATGTTAACAAGTGTAAACACATTTCTAGACTGATAGCAAGTTACCCTCCAGGAAGATTATACTGAGTCTTATTGTCCTTGCATATAAGTTACCTGTTTCATTCCATGGTCCTCAATATTCTGTGCTTCTATTAAAAAACAACAACACAAGGGTGCAGAGTTGAAGCATAATTTTCTATAATGAAAATATGATAACAATATTATTTGTTTCTCAGCAAAGTCTTAAAAGTAAGAAATTGACAAAATTGTCATTAGTACCTATAAACCTATAACTTTTGAATTCAAATTATATTAATATCATTGAGTAGACATTATCTGAAACTATATGTCTTGCTGTTTGTGAGTGAGGTGTGGGTATGGGTGTGTGTGAGTGAAGCATGGGTGTGTATACAAAGTGAGGTGTGTGTGTATGTGTGTGTGTGTGTGTGTGTGTGTGTGTCCAATAATAGAGAGAGGGATGCTCACAAAATTATGTTGACAATAACCTCTGACTTCAGGATCCAAAGCTACAGAGAAACCCTGTTTCGAAAAGCCCACCCCCAAATGATAACCTCTGATGTCTTCCAAATTCAATGGGCAGGTAGTTGGTTAAGGCACCTCAAGGGACTATGGCTCAGGACTTTAATTAATAACTGTCTCCACCTAAAGTGAATTTTCTGAATGTTTTGTGAGTTAATCTGTGAAAATGCTGTCTTGGATTCAGTTGTCCATTTCATCTATTCCATATCTGACCCATAAGAAAATGTTTTTTTTTCACTGAACCTTTCAGGATACATGATGATGAGAGGAATATTGGCTTAACATTTATGATTTTCTTGTATTTCTAGTTTCAGTTATGACTAACTGTAGTTGTGTAATATCATCTAATAGTGTGTGCCCCTTGGACGCACACAAACCTGACTTGGATCCTGTATTTGTTCTAGGTATTGGTCATCTGTGGTCTTAGATATGTTCTCTCTGCTGGTATTCTATAATATAAAGAAAATAAAGTAATATCTTCCACACATTTTGTTTACAAAGTGAGAATCATCACATATTTTCTATCTAATTAAATGAGGCATATCATTTGTCTAACCCCAGGACATTGACAACTATCCTGCTATCTCAGTTGCAAGCAGTAGGTTAGCAGGGAGATCAGAAGACCTGGTTTGCAATGAGCTATCTCAAGAGGCCAAGTATTGAGCCTCTCAAACAAAATTCCATAGGAAGCAACCTACGTAGAGTCACTGGAATCCATTTCATAAAAAAAACATAGTTTGATTCAACAAACAAGATTCAGTACTTGTGATGATGGGACCTGTTGTTTTATTCTTGAAGTGAAAACATCAATTAGAACTTAATTGTAGTTCCAGGGAGTCATTAAAAATAAAGATCCAGACAACTGATGTAAAATAGTTTCAGTATTTTAGTAGTTCAATATTTAAAATATAATATGGCAAAATGTACAACAGGGAAAATAATAGATATGCCAAAGAGGAAAGAGAAAAATATCCTTAGCCTGGTTAGCTGTGATTGGGAAGAGCTTCTTTTTTGGGTATTTTAGACTTGAAGTTTTCAAGAATAAATGTATAGGACTTGCTTGAGTGTAGAGGCACGTGACAGACAGCATATACAATGAAACAATATTTTTTTGCCTCACAGGGGATGTAAGGTGGAAGTTGGAGAATAGAAACAGGTGAGGCCAGTTGTAAACTATGATCAAAACATCTTTTGAAAGCTAGTGAAGGCTTCTGGGTGAAAGCGATATGATTAGGTTCCTACTTCCAGTACTTCATCAGAGCAGTGGTATCAGCTGAACTGTGGAACTGGCAATGAGAAAGAGAAAGGAATCTATGAAAACTACATTAATAGGAAAATCTGGTGAGGTTGGACAAGGGCAGAATACAATATTTAGCAACAATCATGTGTCCGAGACTGATCTGAGGATGACTGGATGGTTGGTGGAGTTATTCCTTGATGTAGGAATTGAGGAGAAGGTGGGAAATGTACATTAGATGTTTAGAAAGAATAGAGACTCTAGCCAAGGAGTTCTGAAGTGGGAGTCAGGCTCTCTAGCTTCTCATAACCCTTGCTGACTCCAACTTATTCTTCCTCTTCATGTTTAACACTCCCACTTCTGTCACAGGCATGATGTCCCCAAGGGAACTGGACACACATGTATCATGGTGTCAGAACTGTATAGTCTGATTCAAATGACCAATGCCAAACCCAAGAATCTGTGCTTCCAAAAGTTTCTAGGAGGGCCAACAAGTTTGAAGACCCATGGACCACAACATCCCTGTGGATTTTTTATCTGAAATATCTCTGAATGCACTCTCCCATAACTCTGTCCTTCATCCTGATTCTGCAAATGTGACCTGTCACACAGTGTGTCCTCCATAGTCACTGCCAGTATCCATAATGTATCTCCATTGTCCTTTGCTTCCCTCTTCACTCACCACACAGACTGGGCTGGCAGAAGAAGCCAAGATAACTGCCCTTTATAAAGTGGACTCTGGAGGATACTCTCTGCTGTGCCTCTTATATGCCCAAGACCATGGGGTTGACCTTTCTCAAGACGATCTAAATAAATTTGTAACAGATTTTGGGGATGGTGGGCTGCTTTTTATTTCAATGTGGTAATCTATTCATGAATAAAATGTGCCATTCTTAAACTCAAAATTTTAGTAGACAGAAGCAATCTAAGAACTGAGGTTTTTTTTTTCCTTTTTCCTTCACAGTTCTGCTGGGAGGACACGTTACCTACTCTGTCTCTTGGTGTTTCCACAGATCCCACTTCCGGATTCAAATGAGATCAACAGACCCTGCTTGTAGATACATGCAGAGAAATCATCCAATATGTCTGCAAAACACATCAGTGCTTGGCCGTCAACACTGAGGCTTTAGGTGTGACTTCTTACGACTTGCAAGTAGCATTAATTGTACTGAGACCTCCAGGCTGGACCAAGAAGGGGATCCTATTACACCACACATGAGGACTTTTGGCTGGAGTGAGACCATGCTGGCCTTTCCCTTGCCGCAGGGCTATGATCAATTTTTGGCAGCCAGACATAGAAGGGATGTGGAAATCTGGTAGGGCCTGCAAAGGCCTGGAATAGAAGACTTATGTGCAGAGATGAAAGGCAGCAGGCTTATTCAGCCTGGAGGGATTGTGGGATGGCTGAATTACAACTTCCCACTGGTTCTTATATCTCTGATGAGGATGAGGTAAAGCTGCTTCTGGAGCCTGAGACATTCTATAACAGACACATCTTGTTTATCTTTCACTCTCCCCACTGTGTCTGGGGTGAATCTGTGAATGAGAGGTCTTTGGGGAGTTGATTCCGCAACTGTATTCCCACATCTTCTTACTATAGAAAGAGACATTGAGATAATTCAAACCTGGGTTTGAATTTCAGATGAAATGATTAGAATCCTTGGATAAGGCACTTGAACTTGTACATTATAATTTATTATCAATTAAGGGAAGTTTGAACACTTACCACGTAAGACACTGTTGAGGAAAAAGAGATGGCGTTACCTTGCACTTCTAGAGGACTTCCTGGTACACTTTTAAACATTTGTAGGATGAAGAAATAAATGAAACTTTGGAGTATATTTGAATGAACTATTGAAAACAGCTAAGTGGGGTTATTTGAACCCTTTCTTTTCCTAACAATGCTGGCTTAAAGTCAAGCAGACAAGAAAAGATCTAGGGTTGAAGGGACAAGGTAAATAGGTGATTCATCTCTGCTCTTGGAAGAATATAGCCCTAAAGGTTTGGTAAATTAGTGCTGTGGTAATACTCTCTCTCTCTCTCTCTCTCTCTCTCTCTCTCTCTCTCTCTCTCTCTCTCTCTCTCTCTCTCTCTCTCTCTCTCTCTCTCTCTTTCCCTCTCTGTATGTGTAAGTCTGCACATGTGTGATGCCCTACAGCTACTATCCTGTTGGTAAATTTTAATGTCTCTGGCAATGGCTAATATTTGATTCATCTCTGTGTTTCTCATTCTCTCTTTAACAGTAGACTGATACAGGGAATCAACAATGATTAATGCCTCCTGTAATCTGGGACGAGAAAGGAAAAAGACAGACAAGGAAGCAAAGATCAAAGAATTTTCCCCTTCTCCTACTTAAATTCTTTCTACTTCTGCTATTCTCCTTTCCCCAGAAGCAACCAGCAGCAACAATTTGAGGACCCCACATTCTATATTTATTATTAGTTGTAGCCATAGTATCACATATAGTTTCAGGGATTTGCTTAAAAAATACTTTTATACACTAATTTCTTACTGTGTGCTGTATAAAAAATTTTATTTCCAATTGGTTTCTCTGTTGTTGAGAGGATCTTAAGTTTAATTAGAGAGCTGTTGGTTACTGCCAAGTTATGAGTGCCACTACTACACCCTTAGGGTTATCGTGGCATGCTGTTCATTGATGTGGTTCACAGGCATCATAGCTGGATAGGACTGTGGGCTGCATCCTTCCTTTGGAATTTTCTATGCTGCCTTCTAGCACTATGAAAACTACTCCCGCGGGAGGAAGCATTCATGTTAGTTCCAGATCAAGGGTCTCAGAAATTCTGAGGGTGGGAGAAATAGTCTTTCCTAGAGGAATGACAGTGCAATGGGTTATCCAATACCAAATACTGCTGGAAACATACATGCAAGTAACATTATACCTACTGAGCAGGTTATAGCAAGAATATATTTGTATATTCATATGCATAAAAATATCTATGTAGCAGCAACTAATGAAAAAAGAGACCATGAATTTGAAACAGAACAAGGAGGTGTGTATGGGAGGCTTTGGAGGGAGGAAAGGGAAGGGAAGATGATTTAATCTTATTTTAATCTCAAAAATAAAAGAAATATATCTAACAAATGATATATTTCTCTTTAAAGCTCAATGTTGTGTTTTTTTTTTAGATTTACCTGTAGCTAATTTATCTTCCAATATCTTTTACTGTAATAAATTGGATGAATACCTGATAATTTATTTTCCCATTCCCTGATGAAGACATAAAATTGGTTTCTTTTTTTTTTTTTTTTCTCCATTGCAGAGTGAGCATTCGGTTTCCTTGGCACACACAGGACTTTTCTAGAGTACAGTTGCAAGTCATGGGTATGCACATTTTAAATTTCACCACCTTCAGACAAATCGCTCTCCCCTGTGATTGAATTGATCCACAGCCCCACCTGCAGGGTCTGGGGGTCCAGCTTTCTCAGGGTTTTACTAGCATCTGGCATGGACAGATTCGTTAATGCTGGTCAAATGGTTTTGTGTGGAATGTTGGTCCATTGTTGCCTCGATTTGCACTTTCGTCATTCTGGTGATGATAATGGTCCTTTCCTTTGCTCCTTGGCGCTTCTTCATTGTATAACTGCTCCCTTCTTCAACACTTACCTTATGTTGTTGCCTTCCCTACTCATTAATGGGACTAATCTCTGCTGGTTTTCCATATTGTAAATGTCCTTCCTAAGCCTGTCCTTTTTCTCCCTTCAGAAGTTTTATGCTGCACTTTGTAATGGAGAGCTTTTTTCGCCCCCCTCAATATATGTTTCTTTTAACATTTTTTTTATTTTAAATAGCTTGTTTTACATGTCAATCCCAGTTCCCTCTCCCTCCCCTTCTCCCACACCCCCCCACCATTCCCCCCCCATCCTCCCACCCTATTGCCAATTCCTTCCACACAGGGGATATCTAGAGTCTATCATTTCACTCAGGGTAGGTTCCAGGCACTCCCTTAAGAGTCCAGGCAGAGAGAGCAACCCTCTTTGTGTTATGGACACATGATGTCTGTTAGTATTCAAGGGATAAACACTGATCCACTGCTCAGGCCCCCATAGATAGCCCAGGCCTCCTCACTGACTCTCATATTCAGGGGGTCTGGATCGGTCCCATGCTGGCCTCCCAGCTGTCGGTCTGGGGTCCAAGAGCTCTCCCCTGTTCAGATCAGCTGTCTCTGCTGGTTTTGCCAGTCCATTCTTTGCCAATTTGCACATCGCTCCTCTCTCTCTGTCACTGGGTTCCTTGTGTTCTGTTCAGTATTTAACTGTGGGTGTTTGCCTCTGCTTCCATCAGTCACTGGATGAAGGCTCCAGGATGGTTATAGACATCAAGTTCACTATCAGCAATAGGTATTCGAGGTGGTCTCTACACTATTGCTTAGCTTGCCAATTGGTGTCATCCGTTTAGATCACTAGAGGTCACAATGGTGCCTGATCTGTCTTCTAACCTATGATTCCCTCTTCCCCCTATCCTACCCCTCCCAGTCGACCTTCCTGTTCCTCCAAGTCCTACTCTCTCTTCCACTTCTCCCCCTCTCTATTTCCCAGGTCCCCCTCCCCCCAACCCTCGCCGTGTTCTCCATCTGTTCAGAGGATCTTGCCTCATTTCTCTTCTCTTGGGTACCATGTATATCTTTTAGGTTCTTTCTTGTTTCCCAGACTCTCTGTCAGAGGAAGTGCAGACTGGCACTCTCCTGATCCATGTTTAAAATCCATATATGAATGAGTACATACCATGTTTGTCTTTTTGTGACTGGGTTACCTCACTCAGGATGGTTTCTTCCAGTGCTATCCATTTACCTGCGAATTTCAAGATTCCATTGTTTTTTCTGCTGAATAATACTCCATTGTGTAAATGTACCACATTTTCTCTATCCACTCTTCAGATGTTTTTATTTAAATTAGAAACATGCTTGCTTCACATTGTCAGTCCCAGCTCCCTCTCCCACCCCTTCTCCTTTATCCCTCCACCAGCCCCCTGGCCCCCCACCCAATCCTCACATCATTCCCCAGCGAGGGTAAGGCCCTCCTTGGAGGGGATCTCTAAATTCAGTCATTTCATCCAGGGCAAGACATAGGCCCTTCCCATGGGTATAATGGAGAGCTTTTTATACTGGTGCTGTTTTATCAATGATTCCTGTAAATAACTGATTTCTGAGAGAAAAGATGGCACTTTCTTCCTCATAAATACAGCCCCCCCTTTTGAAAACTAGCTCTCTGAGACTTTAATACACTGTTTTAAACTTGTACATAAAAGGCACAAAGTGACATGCCCAACTTCCTTGACTCCCATGGGAAGCCTTACTCTCTCTGAGGAGTGGATGGGGGTGGGGGTGGGGCAAGGTGGGGAGAGCAAGAGGAGGGGAGGGAGTGGGAACTGGGATTGGTATGCAAAATGAGAAAAGATTGTTTTAAAATAGAAAGATTCTGAGAAAAGAAGCATAAGAAAGACACAAAACTGTGCATAGCAGTGGAGTACTGGGCGATAGTGTAGGTGCACAGTCCACAGTCAGGTTAAATACGTCTAGCAGCTCTGCCCTCTTCTCTTATTTATAACAAAATCGTTCAAAATCTTTTCTTCTAGGCTTTAGAGAGATACCGTTTGTAAAAATTTGAAAAGGAGAGCATTATTACTCTTTGTAACTTAAACTTAGTGTCTTTCCCTTTCTCTCTTTACTCTGGTAACTATTCTCTTCTCAACTCCTGTAACATGAAATATTTTACACATGCATGAGATCGCGTGGCCCTTCTCCTTGTGTGTCTGGCTTATGTCAGTTAACACAGTGATCTCCAATGCCGCCCAGGTTGTCAGCAATGGTAGCATTCCATTCTTGTCTGTAGCTGGATAGTAGCCCATTACGTGTGTATGTACCACGTTTTCTGTATAGAATCATCACTTGATGGATATTAATTTGTTCTTTTTGTTGGCTGGTGTGATTTTATTGCAATTGGGGGAGTAGCTCTGCAATACACTGGTTGCCTTTGTTTTGCACGCACATATTTGAGTGGGATTGAAGTGGCATGCAGGGTCCTTCCTGCAGGTAGAGCAGGAGAAGGGCCATTCCAGCCGGCCTCTTCCCGGGGCTGAGCAGGATGGTGAGTATCAACGACTCAGACCCTCCTCCCATTAGTTACCAGGGAGAAAAAACCACACTGAGTCGGGAGTCTGTCAAAGCAGGATCTCGATTTATTCCAACACGCAGGAACTTATATAGGACTGAGGTAGGGGATGGGAATCTTTGGATAGGGTAAGGAGTTAAGGGCCAATAGTATTCTGCCAAGCAGGCAGGTAGCTAGGCAGGAGGCAATCTTGCATCAGATCTGGCTGAGTCACCCCCACATGGAGATTACAGGTTAGAGACAGGTCACTAAACTCTAGCCAGGCTCAGGAGCTTACACTGGGCCTCACAACCCAGCCCAAAACTCATGTCAGGAGCTTACACTGGGCCTCACATCCAAGCCTTTCTTAGGCCCAACAGTAGTAGTTTTGACATTTTGAGAAACCTCTGCGTTGGTTTCTGTAAGAGCCCTATGGTTTCCCATGAACTGCATGCAACTGTTCCCTTGTTTCTTTGTGAGCGCTTCTTTGGCATTTTATTCTAATATTTCATGTGCACGCACATGCGAATGCAGGTGCACATGTGGACAAACATCTGGAGGTAGAGAACAGCCCTTGGAACTTGGTTCACTCCTGCCACCTGTGGGACTAGGGAACAGAGATCAGGGCTTCAGGCCTGAGCACAAGTGTCTCTGTCATAAGAATCACTTTGACTGCACCATCTTTCAGGCTTTAGACAGTGTCACTATTATGAAATGATCTGTCATTATTTCTACATTTCTCTAATGAACCTCCCCTTTGCTATTATGACTTAGACATCATTACCGCTGTGTCTACACTGGGATATATATATCCAAAGAGAAACCCTGTCTCAGAGAAAAATAAATAAAAGTAAAATAAATAAAGTAATAATAGATAAATAAATAAGCCGTGCAAAGATGGAAAAAATACAGAGAGTCTGGATACTGTCCAGTATTGTGTTTTTCAGTTTTTTGCTTGCTCAGGAAGGAACTGCTACTAAAGTACACTTGCTTATAAATGCTGCTAAATTAATACAACTTATATCTTTTGAAAATGCCTTGACCTCAAAATTTAAGTATAAGGATATGTTACTTGGAAAAGGAGAATTTGCTTATGTTTCTACAGAAAATGAAAAGCTGAGAATTCCTTCCAGGCTTCTGTGGTTTCACGAACCAAGACCCCCGGAAGCAGTGGACCAGGTGTTCCAACGACTGAGACAGCTAAGATGATACAGCTTTACAGACCCCGAAAATACGGACTTATACAGGTTTCTGAGTTTTGTCATTGTCCCCATGGTATAAACAGCGCCCCCTTCCAGCAGGAAGCAGTTTGGAATGAGCGACGTCCCAATTCCCATCTTGGTTATAAATCTTTGTTTTCATTTAAATGGGATTGTTTATAATTGTTTAATGATCACAGCCAATCTCTTTTTAATGGTAAAAAGGGGAATTATGGTATGGGTATTGTTTTTCATTTATTGATACAAATTCAAGGTCAATTTTGTGATAAGTATATTTCTCCTCTTGACTAAGTATTATACTGTTCTTTTAAAATGTAATGCATAATTAAATACAGACAATAGATAGTTACTTATAATAGTTAGAATTATTATAGTTAGGTAAGTTAGGTTTTCTAGATATACAAAAATATATTTGAGATGGACAGTCTTCAAACCTCTCAAAGACCTTCAGAACATGGCATTTAAAATGGTTTAGGGTTTTTCTTGACAATGAGAAATGTCTGCTCTTGGCAGCACCAATTACATCTGAGAGGAAGATGGGCATCGAAGAAACTTGTTATGGAGTTTGCTTTCAACATGGCAAGATTAGCCATTTGGGCAAGAACTGCTCTTGCCTGTACTTCTTGACTGTTGTTGTATAAACTGGACAAGCAGGACCCACAGGAAAGTGACTACTGAACTCAGTCTTACAGGGTTCCCGCTTCATGAAGAGTCTACGAGACTTTCTGCAGGACAAAGAAAAATGACTTACAGACTGCCAATGCAGATGGACAGTTTGAAATTTCCTGCTTTGCTGAGAAATCTTCTGGACACATTGTGGCCTATGGGCTGAAGATGGATGCCCCAACGTTACAGAGGAACTTCGGGTGACTGTCCAGGCAGTAAGATATCTCTGTTAATCCTAGTGTTTATATATTATCCTTCTGTGGTCTTTGATGGAGTTGAAGACAGATAGTTATAATTATAGTTTTCCTTAGTTATGATGAAAGATACATATAGAACTTTTGACTCACAAGGATGGGATGGATGATATTTTCTTTAAATCTTGCTAAAATATTGTAACTATGTTCTTACTTGATAACTGTTCTGTCATATACAATTTGACTATGTTAAAATTAAGACCTTTCTTTTGTTTAAACAGAAAAGAGGAGATGTTGAGGAAGTCCTGTTATTTGCCTGTGCATTTGTCAATAAAGTACTGTCTGGCCAATAGAAAACCTAGATAGGAGGGACTAGGAGTCGAGGAGGATTCTGGGAAGGGGAAACACAAGAGAGTCAACATGTAACACCATTGGGGGTAGGAAGCCTGGAACTATTCTCCGGTAAGAGACATACTTAGATTAACAATTATGGGGTAATTACTTAAAGCAGAGCTAGCCAGTAAGAGACAAACAAGGCCAACAGCTTCATAATGAATATAGCCTCCTGTGTGTTTATTTGGGACTGATGCGGATGTGGAACCAGGCGGGCAGAACCGCTCCTTCTCAAGGAAAAAGCTTCTCTTAACAAAATGGTTATAAATATATATATATATACATATATATATATATATATATCATGTTCAAGGACACTTCTAAGGCTATCATCCCTTTTGGGGGTTTTACTTATAGATTTTATTGGATTCCCTAGATTGAAAATTTTATGACCTCTAAATATGAAATAATAAGTTTTTCCATTTTATGTTTTAATTTATTCTTTTGTTTTGGTTTTTCAAGACAGGGTATTTTTGTGTAGCTTTGTAGACCAGGCTGGCGTTGACATATAGAGATTTGCCTGCATCTGCCTCCTGAGTGCTGGGACTAAAGGCGTGTGCCACTACTGCCCAGCTATTTATTCTTATCACCATATTACACATAGGCAGATAGTTTGAGACTATCCCATTATTTTTCTTGGTTTTAATTAAATGCTTTTAAACCTTCATAATAATTAAACTACAGGTTTATATCAGTTGTGTATTATTTTCCTAGATATGCACAGGGCCCTATGTTTGGGCACAAACATCCTTCACAAATATAAATACACATCTTCATCTTCACTATTAAGTAAGCTTGCTCCCTGTCCCCATATGTATGTGTGGTGAGGTATAGACAAGAGGTTCTCCAACTTATCTATCACTGAAGCACATCTTTTTGGTTGGCTGGCAAACTAATGAGATCCACAGACTTGTGTCCTATCAGTTTCAGGGTTACAGACACATACTGCCATGTCTAGCTTTTATGTGGTTCCTGGGATCTGCACTGGGATCTTCATGATTTTGCAGCAAGCTCTATACTCATTGAGCCTTCTCAAACTCATTGACTATATTTTTGATTTCTAATTATGGAACAAAATTTCCTATTATTGTTAACTTGGTGTGAGTTTTAGCATGCGTACAACTGAATTTTGCTGCCTGAATTTATTCATCTGTTGAGAAATTCATTTGTTTTTATTTTCTCACATGTTAAACTTTGATGCCTTATAATTTTCTTCTCCTGGTGAATCATACATTATTTCCTATGATAGATCCTAGCCAACCATGATGTTTTTTAGTTTTATTGGAGGACTAAATGAATGCTATTTGCTCTTTAAGCAAGATGTTTATAGGTAGGGCTTAGAGATGCTCACTGGTGAAGAGGTTGTTCTGCTTTGGAGAGAACATGAGTTTGTTTCCTTGTACTCATGACAGGTGCCTCACAATTATAACTCTTGTTTTAGAGTTGTGTTGCCTTCCTCTGGCCTTGGTGGACACCTACACTCATGTGTATATCTGTATGCTTGTTTGTTCTATCTGTGCCCTTAGATGAGCAGCTATAATTCTTAAGTGGAAACAGAATCTAAGTATCAATTTGAGGTGATTTCAATTCATGCCCCTCTGACTTTAAACCAAATATATTTAACCGCTTGGTTAGCCTTTGTCCTTCATCAAGGTCTGGAGATCTTAGTACCGGGCCTCTAGCCTGCCTCCTGGTTAGTGTGCTTCATGCGTTTCAGCTCTCTTTGCCTAATGACCCAACATTTTGCTTTGTTTGTCTTCTTTTATGTCTCATTTTCCTTTCTTTTTACATGTAATCTTAATGGTCATATCTCCATTGCTGACAATTCCTTTTCTGAATTCTCCAAATTTAGGAATTCCTATTAGTAGTTACTGAACATCCTTTACTTTTATCTTGAAAAAAAAAGACATAAACAGAACTTTTAAAAGATAAGGAAAACATATTTTCCAGCATTTGAACTATCGTCCTCCCTTGCTAGGAAGCTTGATTCTTTGATACTCATGAGATCTTGGTTAGTGGCATTTGCAGTGAGAGAACAAGAGGCTATGACCTGCCTTGGATGCATCTTTACCCTTGTCTTTTCTAACAGGCAATGTGCCTAATGTTGTCAGTGAGTTGCAGCTTCCTTGGCTGGCTAGCTATAAGACAGAACACAAAAGATGAGCTGCTTGCTGACTGGTGAATGTTTTTCTGTTTCTGTAACTTATGTTCTGTCAATTCTCTGTTTTCCTTTGTGATATTTAATTGAAATCACAGCCTAATGAGGTCTGGTCTATTTCTCCCTTTTGTTGAAGGCTTGATGTTCCTGCCAGAATGTCCAAAATGGGAAGAGAGCAACTTGTGAAGAAACACAAAACTTGACAACAATCAAAGGTCACCAGAAATCTGTTTATGTGATGGGTTCTTTGCTTAGCTTTTAACAGATTAATTTGCCACTAAGCTGATGTTTTATTCATCAATAATCATTTTATATGAAACTCTTGGAACATTTCTGGGAAAACAAATGCAGCCAATGAGTTTAGATTTTTGTTGGTTAAAGTTCAGATCTGTGATCTCACCTGAATTTTCTCATGGGAGTGTGCTCAGAAAAATTTAAATCATGCTTTTCCATTTCATTTGATATCCCTTTCTCTCCTCTCTTTCCAGCTCAATTTAGATGCTATGCCCTTATGAATCATCCTCTAATTTCCAAATTGCAGTCTTTTTCCATCACCTGGAAATTGGTGGCAATTCTATTTGAGCTGTTCTGGTCTTGACCGTATGCAAGGAGACATGAGGTGGCTAAAGGAGAGGCTGTGGATGTCAGACCTGAACAGAAAAAGTTTTCTGCTCTGTGTTATGTGTTTGCTGTGTGAGTTTGACACCTGATGCTTTCCTTTTCTATGAAATTTGATAATACAGCCAATCTGATTGTTAGTAGAATTTAGTGAATACTTATGTACATCAAAGTTAATGTCCAGGAGAAGTAATTGATAACAACTATGTTCCCATTAAGTCAAGAATATCACTGTACAACTATGAGTCTGTCTTTTTATAATCTAAATATCTACCCTAAGGCCATTCATCCAAAGAGTTTCCTTATTGTCTCAAATACTTGCTTTTGATACTTAGCCCAACCAGTAGACTTCATTAAAGTTAACTGTATAAAATATTGCTTTGTCTCACACAAGAGAGTCTTTCAAAAAGTTACTTAATGACATGCTTTTAGAATTAAATCTTATTTTTTAGACATCTGGGGAGCTCATTATTAAAGTGAATAATGAGTTTAGGTTTTTGGTACTAGGACTGGGGATGTGGAATTGAGGGTTTGTTAGCTATATTTCAGACCTGATGTTGATCCTTATTTAAAAAAATAAATATGCCATACCACATACTCATACACATATCACATACACACTTACATACCACAGACACACATACTCATATACACACACTACACCACACACACACTCTACTTATTCACATCTATATCACATATACACATGCTCACACACATACATACTCAGACATATATAGTCTCCCACACACACTTATACTTACACAAAACCACAACACAATAACAACAACAAATGAAATAAAGAGTGTTTGTAGTAACTGAAGAACCTCTTGGTAGTCACCATGTTTATACTTCCTCCTCTCTGTTTCTTTAGGGAGGTGCCCAATCCATGTTCATGTACTTAAAGTATTCTGTACAGGCTTTTAGTGCAACATTATCCACTGAAAAGTCAGGATTTGAATTTAGCTGTTGGATATCAATTTCTTTACTAATTCTTCATAGTACTGGAAGGTGCTATGCACATTGCTGGAGAAAAAAGTAATTACTAGTCTTACCCAAATATAAACCCTGAGAGCTACAGTGGTAACTGGTATGGAAAGACATTTCCACTGGTGTAATAGTGGCAGATCATCAGAGAAGTAAACAACTACTTTCTGATTGGATTTAAGTTCCACACTAATTGCTGTGGCTGGAGAGGTCATAGTCCTTAGGGGAGAATCTACTGTTAGTATTTTGCTAAATGGACAAAGCATTAGGCCAACTCCTAATGATTTATCTTCATTTTGACTTAATGCATTTCCCAACTTTCATCAGAGAGCCTTCTATGTGATATAGATGCTATTTAACACCCACAAATTCTCATGGTGTAAAAAACAGGAAACTACAGAACTCTCAGCCTTAAAGGTACCGTGTGCGCAAACACACACACACACACACACACACACACACACACACACACACACACACACAGAGACGTATATATAACATCCCTTCCTTCCAAGGATTAGGGATCATTATAGAAGAGGGCTCAGGAAGGGTCTAATAGCCAGAGACAGTAAATGACTACAAGGTAACACTGTCTTCTAGACATAGCAGGACAGCAGCACATGTTACCTCATATTGGTTGTGCTAGCATTCACATGACCTATGTAAACTCAAGTCACATCAAATCTGAATCTAGAGCAGGGAGTTAGGTGTGAAGTTTCAGTCTTAGTGGCCCAACTATTGGCAGTTGTTGGATTCTGGGAAAGGAACAATCAGTTTTCTCTGAGAGTATACCCTAGTAAGTTAACCAAGCGCCTGAGAAAGGCCATACATTCAAAACAATTGTGCCTTACCAAAAATTGATTTTGATACATTTGCAAACAAACAAAAGGACACATAATTGGGTGGGTGGATCATGGGATCAATCAGAAAAGAGTTGGGGAAGGGCAGTGAACATTATAAAACCACATTGTGTGAAATTCCCACAGAACTTATAAAATTACAAACTGCTAATTCCAGCAAAATAGTCTTTCTCGAGAACAGAATACTAAATTTAGGCATGCAGTGAAAGCTAAGACTTGTGTAGTATTTACCTGGGGTTTGTTTTTTTTTAATAAAATATCTTTTCATGCATTTTCTTGAGGTCTTGTATTTACTTTAGAAAGGACATGGATCTACACCTTTGCTCATGTTGAAGACACTTAATACTTTCCCATTTTTGATTGAAGATGAAACGTGGACTGCAGTTGAAAGCCACAAAGCTGAGTATTTATTAAATACGCTAATTTCTCTTTCATCTAGCAGTCCAAATGTTTCCAGCCATAATCTAATTTCCATCAAAAACTTTCCATGGATCAGGATGGTGGTTCCAAATCTAAAATGCTGAGGGAATCACTTAATGGCCAGTGGTGAGTTCCTATGAGCTCATCCCAGAATTGGAAATGAGTGTTTGGAGTTGACTCATGGGCAGGATCCAAGCCTTCCCAAAATAACTCTGTGGTCTACAATAGGGGATATGAGGCTGTGCTGGGAGGATGGGTAAGCTTTAGATGATCTCTCTCCCTGTCTTTCTCTGTGTGTTTGCGTACATGTACTTGCATGGCTGCAGACAGGCACACGTGAATGGGAGCACATGGAGTCTAGAAGACTATGTCAGGTGTCTTCCTTAATCATTGTCTACATTATTTTCTGAGATAAAGTCTGTTACTAAATCCAGTTTCACAGCTACATCCAGACTGGCAGGCCATGTAGCTTCATCTCCCCAACTCTGAGTTCACAGATGTATACACAACACTCAAGGTTTTAGGCAAGGGCTGGGGGTGTGAACTTGGGTTGTAATGATTGATGGTAGGTAGTCATTATACTGAGCCATCACTTAAGGCTTTCTAGGTCACTTAAAAGTTGTTTTACTCCGTGTGTGTGTGTGTGTGTGTGTGTGTGTGTGTGTGTGTGTGTGTGTATGAGCATTATGCATGCAGGAGTCCACAGAGAGCATACTGGATACTATACAGTTATGTGCTGCTGTGTAAACACTGAGAACTGAATCTGGGTCGCATTCAAGAGAAGTAAGAACTCTTAACCACTGAGCTACCTCTTCAGATCACTGCTCCTTTGTGAGAATTTGTTGCTATTAAGACCAATTGTTTGAGCTCTCTGCCCCATTCTAGTATTCATGATACTATAATCATTATTCTAGTCACCTACCTAGCGAACAAAGTATATAATTTGTAGATTAGCAGGAAGAAGACTTGGAAAATCTTAGCATGCATTATTGAGCCTGTCATCTATACAACTTTAAATTAATATGAATACACTGTGATTAGGCTGTGGTATTTGACAGTAAATTTAAATAAGAATTTGTCTGATGTTAAGTCATAATGTCAAGGTGAAATCTAAGCAAATAATTGTGATATTTTGTGATGAGTACCATGCCATCTGTTAGTAAATACTAATGGCATCTTTAGGAATAACAGAGGAAGAGAGTTGGTTAATGAATGGAGTTATTAAGTTATCATAAAACTAATTATAATGATAATTATGACTGTCTCCACATGCATATCTGACATAGTATTATATTCAGTGTAATAACCTTGTTGTTTGCATGATCTAAAGGGATGACACCAATTGGCAAGCTAAGCAATAGTGTAGAGACCACCTCGAATGACCATTCCTGATAATGAACTTGATGTCTATAACCATCCTGGAGCCTTCATCCAGTGACTGATGGAAGCAGAGGCAAACACCCACAGTTAAATACTGAACAGAACACAAGGAACCCAGTGACAGAGAGAGAGGAGCAAAGAATGGACTGGCAAAACCAGCAGAGACAGCTGATCTGAACAGGGGAGAGCTCTTGGACCCCAGACCGACAGCTGGGAGGCCAGCATGGGACCGATCCAGACCCCCTGAATGTGAGAGTCAGTGAGGAAGCCTGGGCTATCTATGGGGTCCTGAGCAGTGGATCAGTGTTTATCCCTTGAATACTAACAGACATCATGTGTCCATAACACAAAGAGGGTTGCTCTCTCTGCCTGGACTCTTAAGGGAGTGCCTGGAACCTACCCTGAGTGAAATGACAGACTCTAGATATCCCCTGTGTGGAAGGAATTGGCAATAGGGTGGGAGGATGGGGGGAATGGTGGGGGGGTGCGGGAGAAGGGGAGGGAGAGGGAACTGGAATTGACATGTAAAACAAGCTATTTAAAATGAAAATAAAAAATAAGAAATAAAATACACTTGAATTTTTCCTATTTTCAACATATTGTACAAGGCATATGAAGATGTTATTTTATTGAATCTCTCAAGCAACTTTGTGTTGTCAGTTCTATTATCACCATACCCTAAAGGAGGAGTCCATGCTAAAGAAATGACAACATATTCTACTGAATAGGGTTGACAAGACATGGTGAAAGTTGATTGAGGAAATTAGTGTCTGGAAAATGCTTGAATGATCTAGGGCTTTTACTCAGACACACAAGAGCCCATATGCTCCACTTCCACAATACAGCCTAGTGAAATAGCATAAGACTTCTCTGTCAGGAGTGAGACCTTTGGGACACTCTAAAGCTAATAGGCCAGTAGTCCCATCACAATCACCATTTATACTATGAATACTCTTTTCAGCACCATCAGCCTAAAGGTGATTTCCAATACCAAGATAGTTACCCA